GTATATTATTGTGCGCTTTGCCCAGATCACATGCTCACTTCAAAGAAACCCTCTTGTATGGAAGAGAGTCCCTGACCTTTGAAGAAGTTCAATCAGCTTTGTACTCTAAGGACTTGAACGAACGTAAGGAGCATAAACCTTCGACGGTTGGTGAAGGTTTGGCTGTTAAAGGAAAATTCGACAAGAGGAAAGGTAAAAATCAGTCGAAGTCTTATAGTGGTGATGCATCTGGTATTAGATGCTATCACTGTAAGAAAGTAGGTCACACAAGAAAGGTGTGCTCCTGAACGCCTGAAAGATCATGGAGGTAAGGATAATGGCAATGCAGCTATTGTCCAAGATGATTTCGAATCATCTGATGTTCTTGTGGTTTCAAGCAACAACTCGTCGAAGGAGTGGATTCTGGATTCTGGATGCACTTGGCACATGACTCCAAACAAAGACTTGTTCGAGGAATTATGTGATCAAGATGGTGGATCGGTATTGCTGGGAAACAACAAAGCTTGCAAGATTGCAGGCGTTGGATCTGTGAGATTCAAGCTCCATGATGAGTCAATAAGACTGTTGACTGAAGTCAGGTATGTACCTGATTTGAAGAGAAATTTGATTTCTCTTGGTGAATTCGACAAGAAAGGATATGTTTTTCAAGGAGAGAAAAGTATCCTGAGAGTCATGAAAGGGTCGAAGGAAGTCTTGAGAGGCGTGAAGAAACAAGGGCTTGTATACCCTTGAGGCTGAAGTTGTAAGTGGTTCGACAAATGTTGCATCCACGAAACCTTTGTCGAAGACAGAAATTTGGCACATGAGATTGGGCCATGTCAGTGAAAGGGGTCTGGTCGAATTAGGGAAACAAATCTGCTTGGTGGAGATAAAGTCGAAAAGCTGAAGTTTTGTGAACCCTGTGTACTTGGAAAGTCCTGTAGAATGAAGTTCAACAAAGGCAAACAAAGAACACATGGATCCCTTGATTACAATCCATGCTGATCTTTGGGGCCTGCAAGGTGTCCATCACATTCAGGAGCAAAGTATTTTCTATCCATAGTAGATGACTATTCCAGAAAGTTATGGGTATTCATCCAGAGACTAAGGATGAAACTTTTGAGAATTTCAAAAGTTGGAAGACTCTTGTCGAAAATCAAACTGGCAGAAAGGTAAAGAGGTTGAGAACCGACAATGGCCTTGAGTTTTGCAATGAGGCATTCGACAGTTTTTGTGTTGCCTCTGGTATTGCAAGGCACAGAACTACCGCAGGTACTCCTCAACAAAATGGTTTGGCTGAAAGGTTTAATCGAACTATTTTGGAGAGAGTTAGATGCATGTTGACTAGTGCGGGATTAAAGAAGGTGTTTTGGGCTGAGGCTGTTTCGACAGCAGCATATCTGATAAACAGATGTCCTTCGACAGCGTTAGATATGAAGACACCTGAAGAAGTTTGGTCGGGACATCCACCAGATCTCGACAAACTAAGAGTATTTGGCTGTGTAGCCTATGCACACATTAGGCAAGACAAGGTCGAACCTAGAGCTCTGAAATGCATGTTTATGGGATACCCTGAAGGAGTAAAAGCTTATAGGCTATGGTGCCTAGAGCCAGGTCACAGGAGGTGTATCACCAGTCGAGATGTAGTTTTCAATGAAACTGAAATGGCTTTCAAGAAAACTGATGATGTTGACGAAGAGCTGGAACAGGTAGAGATTCCTGTTGAGGTGGAGCATGTTGATGCTGAAATGCGTATCCCAGATGAAGTCGAAGAAGAAACAGAAGATTCTGATGATGTTGAGGAAACTGTTGATGACTACCTATTGTCGAGAGATAGGCAAAGAAGAGTCATAAAACCACCTCAGAGACTTGGATATGCAGATCTTGTAGCTTATGCCTTAATCTCTGCAAGTGAAGTTCTAGACGAAGAACCTAGAGATTATAAGGAAGCTATAAGGAGTCGAATGAAGACTGAATGGCTAAAGGCCATGCATGATGAGATGAAATCTCTTCATGATAATCACACTTGGGAACTAATCGAGAAACCTGTTGGGGCAAGGTTAGTTAGCTGTAAGTGGATTTTCAAAGTTAAGGAAGGAATTGAAGGAGTAATGTCGAAGAGGTACAAGGCAAGATTAGTCGCAAGGGGTTTCACTCAGAAAGAAGGTGTCGACTTCAATGATGTATTTTCCCCTGTTGTGAAGCACAGATCCATTCGAATGTTGCTTGCCATGGTGGCTCAGTTCGACCTTGAACTGGAACAAATGGATGTGAAGACTGCGTTCTTGTATGGTGACTTAGATGAAACGATCCTGATGAGGCAACCTGAAGGGTATGTCGAAAAGGGGAAAGAAGATTATGTGTGCAAACTGAAGAAATCTTTATATGGACTTAAACAATCTCCTCGACAGTGGAATAAGAGATTCGACAAGTTCATGGAACACATAGGTTTCATTAGAAGTCAGTTCGACCACTGTGTTTACTCCAGATTTCGACCTGAAAATTCATTTGTTATTTTGTTGCTTTATGTTGATGATATTCTGATAGCAAGCAACAATGTCGAAGATATAATGAGGGTGAAGGCTGAACTCAATAAGGAGTTCGACATGAAGGATCTGGGAGCTGCATCTAGGATTCTTGGAATTGACATTCGAAGAGATAGAAAGCAGTCGAAATTATGCTTATCTCAAGAGGCATACCTACGAAAGATTCTTGACAAGTTTGGTATGTCGAATTCAAAGCCTGTTGTAACTCCAACAAACCCTCAATTCAAGCTGAGCATTGATCAATGTCCCAGTACTGATGTCGAAAGAACCTATATGAACAGCATCCCATATGCTAATATAGTTGGTTCTTTGATGTATGCTATGGTCTGTACTAGACCCGACATAGCATATGCAGTAAGTCTTGTAAGCAGGTACATGGCGAATCCTGGAAAGGCTCACTGGCAAGCGTTAAAGTGGATTCTAAGGTACATAAATGGGTCTCTGAACAGAGTCTTAATTTATGGTGGAGCCTTGGGTGAAGATAGTAAAGCAGCAGTCGAAGGCTATGTTGACTCTGATTATGCAGGATGTATGGATTCCAGGAAATCTATTTCTGGATATGTTTTCACTATGTTTGGTACAGCAATTAGTTGGAAAGCAACTCTTCAGAAGGTTGTTGCCTTATCAACTACTGAAGCAGAATATATTGCCCTAACTGAAGCTGTGAAAGAAGCATTGTGGCTTGAAGGTTTTGCAAAGGAGCTGAAACTTCAAGGTCAAAGTATCACTGTTAAATGTGATAGTCAAAGTGCAATACACCTGTCGAAGAACTCAGCCTATCATGAGCGAACCAAGCACATAGATGTGAGGCTGCATTTCGTCAGAGGGGTAATCGAGCGTGGAGAAGTCCAAGTGCTGAAGGTCTCGACAGATCACAATGCTGCTGATATGATCACCAAAACATTGCCAAGTTGCAAGTTTTTCCACTGTATGCAGTTGATAAAGCTGCATGAAGAAAGCTAGTTAGTGTCTCTTGATGCTGTAGAGTTAGGTCCAAGGTGGAGATTTGTGGGATTTTGGATCGAACTCTAGTTGGTCGAAGTACTTGCTGTAGTCGAAGAAGGTTCTAGCATGTATTTGTCGAAGGATGCTTGTCGAATTAGGTTTTAGTGTTTAAACCCTAATTTGTTAAGTTAGCTTGTTTGTTAAGTTAGCTTGTATAATGGGCCTTGTGGAAAAAGCCCATTAGTTAGTATGTTAGGTTTTATTATAAATAGCATACTAGTCTCTCATCATTGCCAACACAGCAAATCCTAATCTATGGTGAGAGGGTTATTTGTTATTCTTGTAAACTTGTAATCTTGTTTCCTAAGAGAAAGTAAAGAATAGCAGTTATAACAAATTCTTGTGTTCTTCTTCTTCCTTGTTTGATATTCCTCCCTTATTCTATACTTTGTTATTGGCATTAAATTCACAACAATAAAGACTTGAATCACATTGGTTTATGAGAAGTTCATTGAAATTTCAAGTCACGGTGATTTGAGTCACACTTTTAGAATATTCAAATCACAATGCAAGATCACAAATTTAGAAAAGTTTCCCTTGCATATGTTTCGAATAATATTTCATGATACAAATCATGAAGGGTGTCAAGTAGAGGTTTGAATTTCGATTTACTATGAATTTGTATACTTTAAGTTTGGTTACACTTTGTTAAAATTCAGCCGAGATTGAGAAAGTTGAGGGTGGTGAAACTGTTCAAGAAGGTGAAAGTTTGAATTTCAAAATATGTGAGAATTGCAGAAATTAGAGAAAAGAAGATTTGCAAGAAGAATTGAAAGCTTAAAGACTAGTTGGTTGTTAGGTAAGAGTCAAGGAAATGTGTAAAGTCTTGTAAACATTATATTAGACAATTGGTGAATAAAATTATAAGGAAGATTATAAGATTTATTAGGCATTGTCCACATTCAAAGAAAAAACTTGTATGCATTTATCTCAAAAGTGTACTATTTTTCTATTATCACAGATCTTAAATCCATTCCCAGTATATGGATTCATTACATTACATTTTACATATCTAGAAAGAAGTTTCCTAACAATGTCCACACTTGTCATGATTTGGCACTCAAAACAATAGACAACAAATATAGAAACAACCTACTTGAGTCTACAATGAATGCTACTTTCTTCTTCTGCTCATTTTATTTCACCTGATCTAAACACCTTCTTCACACTCACAATATCCAGAACCAACCGAGGACTGAACCACCAACCAACCCGAATCCGAGGAACGCGGTCATCACAATAGCCGACAACTCTGATTCCGAGAAAGGTACTGACTTAGGAGCTAGAATCATAAGAACACTAGTGAGGTATCCATTGGTAAATCCAAGCAGAAACGTCAGAACAATCATTGGAACTTCGGTTTTCAACCAATTGGGTCCATGAAGACAAACAATAAAAAGTGGATAGAATAATAGTCTTGCTGTGGCAGCACATATAGCTCTTTTGATACATTGTGGAACATAGAAAGCAGTTAATGATTTTCCCATAAGATCGGCTAGATTATAAACTGTAATCAATATTATCGGATACCAATCCTTAAGAACCTTGGATTCAAGATCTTCTGCAATAAATCCTGGAAAGATAGACAGAGTTACTATGTAGATAATGAAAATTCCGAAAGCCGGCCCCTTGATTTTCCCTGCCACTTCACAGAATTTTGTCTTGGAGCATAAGGCACTATCCTGAAGTTGACTCTGTTGATACTGCTGCATAACAGGTAACTTGTGTTGCAAGTTACTAAACACAATGCAACATAGAAGGAAAACTATGGATACCATGAAGTACAAGTGAGCACTTATTTTAAGACCCTTTGGGGTTTGAGGTAGTGATGCCTTTGTTATTACCCTCAAGATTGAAATTATAATACCTGTCAACCATAAAAGAGTTTTGTTAATATGAGAACAAAATTTGACAGTAACTCAGTTCCATAGTTTTAGTAGTTATTTCTAGATATGATTCAATTTACCGCATAAATTGTGAGTTTGAACAATTTTTGGTATCATGTGGGGTTATCAGAGTCGCGGCCTGTGATTTTGCTTCTGCAGAAGCAAAATCACATGACTCACCGTGATTTTGGCAAACTCAGAAGACATGTCACCTAGAAAATTTAGAACAATGTATATACTAAGACAAATTCCTCTATAATGGTAGCTGTGGAACCATCACTGTTATGGAATCTAAAACATTCAAAAGATTTGTATATAGTTAAAAGACTAAAAGACTAATTTTATGTTTCATCTTAGGCAAAGTTTTGTATATTCCTTAGAATTTGTTCAAATAAGGAAAGCATGATTTACCTGTTGTATATAGTAATGCAAAAAGGAAAATAAATCTGATCAACTTTAAGGGAACATATATAATAATTTCCATATACCTGAAGAAGCAGTTCCAGCAAAAACAGCTTGCATATACTGTTTTGGAAGCTTTCCTGCTGATCCTATCAAGCTTCCACCAACAACTCCATCTGCCAAACCACATGTAACAACAGCTGCAACTGTCATGCCATAAGCACCGCTCGGTCTCTCTTTCAGCTTCGAGCTACTCGAGGCCCAATCGATGACAGGAGCTACCATTAGAGACATAACAAACATTGAAAATCCCAAGTTCATTCTCAACCTTAGTGTTGTCTTACTCCAACCTCCCCAACTCATCATCACAAGAAGTACAAAAACAGATGAAACCATGTAGGCCACGGAGAAAACTTTCTCAATGTGATTGGTTGGATATAAGTAGGCAAAGTAATCAACTGCTGTGATGAATGCATTCCAAGGAAGTAAGTTTCCTGCGCCGAGCAAGAAATGGATTATGTATGTAACTCTGTAAGCGTCTCTTGTTTCGCTTGGTGCCAGCTTAACAGCTTCCATTTTTATTTTTTTTAACTTTCTTATAGCATTAGTCAAAAGGATGTTAATGTGAGGGTTATTATCTTGTTAAAAATCTCTAGCTTAAAATTCTTTTGAAGATGTTGGCTTTTAAGACAAGTAGAATAGTGGACAGCTCTTGTAGCACTCAATCATACATATACATATATATACACATATATGGGACCATGACTGCCTGCAATAGTGATTCCTCACACTAACCGATTTTGGTCGTTAGTTTGAGATCGAGCGACTCAGATTACGCAATAAAAAATATGTTGGAAAAACCTCGGCCGTTAATTTGAGATCAGACGGATGAAATGCGAAACTGCGTGGCGCGATGAATGCACCAAATAAAATTCCAACATAGATGTGAATAATGTGATTGATGGGGCTGTGGAGGTTGAATAGATATGCTTAATGTATGAAGAAGAAAAATTATGCTATGTGGGGACAGAAAATGGATGGGTGAAATTTGATATACCATTTGGTGACACTGTCAAACACGTGTAAGCTGTCTTGAAATCTTCTGTACTTTTACACACGGGTAATATAAATTGGATGCTTCATATTCATTTCAATACTTACTTTCTTGAAATACTTCGGAACAAATTTAAAAATAATATTAATCGAGAGCCGTCTTAAGTCTTTGGAGATTTTATTATACGTGTTAGATGTAGATTAATTATGATAATCTTTAAACTGTGAAGGTTAACCTTAGATTAACTGATATAAATTTTGAATCATGTGTTGTAGCCTGTCATAAAAAAAAACGGCCCTGTACTGATAATGTGTTACAATTCAATGGTCACACTTGATGAGAGTATTCAATGGACTCATACTTGATGAGAGTATTCAATGGACTCATAGAGGGGTTTTACAAGCGTGACTATTTAAAAATAAATGTGGCCCTTAAAGCTTGATTATCAGTTTAACTTAGAAGAATTTGATACTGTTTTAGAGTATTGATACAGTAATAGACTAGTAATCATGTCATGTTGATTATCAGTTGCCATTATCCTATGCTTTTTTCCATCCTCACATGGTGTGTTGTTAATGTCCATGACTATATTTATCAATCAACCTTAATGAGATTCCTTAATAGTGTCTAATTAAAACTAATATCCTTTTAATTAAGTAGTTTGGACTTCAATGATAAAAAAGTTTTTGCTAAGGACGTAATTCGAAAAATATCAGATTTGATTTTTAGGTGGAAACAATGCTTGGCCAGTATTCATACCTAGACACGAGTTCTGAATTATTAGGATCATTTTCCCCTGAGAACCAGAATACAAAAGCAACAAAAAAAAACTAATATCCTTTTCTAACTTAAGAATATGAGTATTAATTCTCAACCTAAATTAAAAATAGAGTAGTTAGTGAAAATTATAACGGAATATATATATATATATATATATAATCATGTTTATGAAAGTGATAGTGAGAAGATGTTTTTAAAAAGAATATGACTTAATATGTGAAATTAATAAATGAAGAAAAGAATCTCTTCATATTCCTATGGATTTCGTCCATAATTCTAAGACCTTGAAGAGATCATGTGAGTGAATGGAATTAGTCTCTCTTAATCATTGCATAAGTTGTTGGCGACATAATATTTGAGTTGATTCGTTCGACCATAATTTATAGCTAAAATATTAGTTCTCGTAATAATAAAGCATTTGGTTGGGTGGTATGAATATTCTAGTATGTACAAACCTTAGAGCCCATTAGTGGACTGAAGTCCATTATAGCTTAGTCGGGTTAGTGCTTGCGAGATATGGGTTCAAGTCGAACAATTTCGTGTGACTTATCTTATGACCCTTTTATGAGATTTCGGTTGTCTAGACTATATAATGCTCTATCTTAAGATTCAATAAGAGTTTTCCTTATCATATAGGTTTAATTGTAACTTTGATTTTTCTATTATACATTTTTTTGGATTTTGATCCTCCTATTTTAAAAATCGGTTTTGATAGTCACTCTATTTTATATTTTGAAGGATTTTAGGCCCCCTCAGATCCGGAAGCATTTTTTGATGACATGATAGTGGATTTTGATGACGTGAAAATACTAAAAGAGATTTATCATTTTTTTTCTTTTTCAAGTCATTTTGTTTAATATTTTTATTTAGGTTAAATACTAAATAAAACGTAAAAAAAAGTTTAATAAAAAATGTTTTAACATTTTGTTTTAAAATCTTCAGAACAATTTGTTTTAAAACCTCTCATAGTTTAAGTTCCCCCAAAACATGAATCCTAGAGCAATGGATTCATTGTCATCTACCATGTCTTCGCCATAGTGCGTTGTTCTCACTGGTTTCGTACATCTTCATCAATTTCGTAGATCTTCATCAACATTCTCATATCGTAAGTCATCAAAATGACGACACCCTCATATGTTTCAGGGTAACATGTTCTTCCTTCATGTTCTTGTTATTTAATGTTGTATAATGTGATTTCCATTAGGTTATTACAGTATGTGTTGAAGTTCATTTATTCTCTGTTGTTGTGATCTTTGTTCAGGTCTAATTATTTGTTAATGTTGAGATCCTTGATGTGGTCCCTTATGTATGTGCATTTGTTATTATATATGTTTTGTGTAGGCCATCAGAGATACAAACGGTCTGACTTAGAATACACCATAAAGGAGAACATATCACCCGTCCTGTATTTGAATTGGGACTGGGATGTTGACTTAATATCCTATATGCAAGTTGAACAAATGATAAAAAGTGAAGGTCATCTGAATATTAAGTGTCTTTGGTATTAGAATTCTTGGTTTTATTTTGCTCGAGGTCTTAGACTGTTGGATAATTATCAAGATGTTTTAACTTTCATTGAAGATGTTAAAGGGTTTAAGGTAATTGAATTATTTTGTTGAACACAATATTGACATATCTGATGTGGTTGAAGCTGGTGTAAATGTTGAAGATGCAATTAATGTTAATTTGGAAGATTTGAATGGTGTTAATGTGGAACATGATGCAACTGGTGTTAATGTGGAAGATGCAACTGGTATTAATGTGGAAGACAATGAAAGTGTAACTGATTCTGGTTACGAGGAAAGTTTGGAAGAAGAAGAAGAAGATGATGATGATGAAAGTGACACTGGTCCTAATGTTAGTGTAGATTGGACAATTGTTCTTCCCAATCAACAAACTAAACATTCTCTACATTTTGATAATGAGAGTTGTGATTTAGATGAGCTACACACCCCACAAGAAAGTGACGTTGAAGACGAGATGAATATGTTCCCAATTTTTAAGGAAAACACTAAGTTTGAGTTAGGCATGATGTTCAAAGATAAGTTGCAAATCAGAGATGCGATCAAAGAATATGCACTGGATAAGAAGAAGAATATTTTCATTAAAAAAATGACAAGAATAGAGTGATGGTGCAATGTATCAAAAGTTGTCCATTTTATATAAGATTTAGTATGAGAACTGCAAATCAATTTTAGAAACTAGTGAGCATAACTAAGGAGCATAATTGTCACATGACACCTAAGAGCAGACAAGCAACAACTGATTGGTTAGCTCGCAAATTTGTTTATACATTAAAACATAGTCCTGATATGAGAACTAAACATTTGATTGCAGAATCTATACAAAAATAGAGAGTAGAGTTGTCTAAGGACCAAGTAACATAGTTTATGAACATAAAAAATAAATATGTTTTATTTAGTATTTAACCTAAATAAAAATAGTAAACAAAATGACTTGGAAAAGAAAAAAAAAATGATAAACCTCTCTTAGCATTGCCATGTCATCAAAATTCATTGTCATTTCATCAAAAAATGTTTCTAGATTCAAGAGGGAATTAAAATCCTCCAAAATACAAATTAAAGGGACTATCAAAATCAATTTTTAAAATAGAGGATCAAAATTTTAAAAAAATGAATAATAAGATAATCAAAGTTACAATTAAGTATATCATATATAAAATAATATTCAATATTTATTTTAGATATTAATCATGTTAAAATATCCTTGTTTACAACTTGGAATCTGATATTCATAATTTAAAAAAAAAAACAACATTGTAAAATAAAATAAAATAAAAATTGCATGCTTCAATTTATTTTATCTTTTGAGTCAACTCTATTAGAGTGATAGTACGTGGAGTTTTCTTTATGTCATCTAGTGAGTGGAGAAGGCAAACAAGTACTGAATGATAGATAGCGATTGATATACAAGACTTGAACCTAACAGTGTGTACTACAAACTGAATGGACACAAATCTTCAACTTTAAAAGTAGTTGCAATATACACTGCAATTATTTCACACAAGTCAACAAGTTTACCATAGTTATTTTTCAGCCATTTTTTCTTTGTTTATATTTTCCAATATAAGTAGCAACTACTATGAGGTTATTTTTCTCAAGAATAATGTGGCTAAGAAAAATTGCATTAGATGCAAATAAATTAATTGAAACTAAAGGTAAAAAAGCATATCGTTATCTAAGATACTTTCAAGTGTCAATGTCAAGTTTTTCATGAACTCTACTATTGGTTTGGAAACTATCAATAGTTTGTTTGGGGTGAGAAAATGACAAAAATAATCATTCATGGTAATATTGTAAATCTATAGCTAAATCGTATAAAAGTGATTTTTCTTAAAGGAGGTTGTCTCTGAGGGGTAAAGCTTGTACAAGTTGTCTCATTCAATTTTATCAACCATTCAAAATGGTGAAGTTTGGATGAGCTTTACCATAAAGATTTTAGTGTGTCCTGTATGAGATTGTGTGATTCTGACTGATTGATATGGTTATTTTGTAAAGATCCAATAATGTTAATTTGTTTTATAAGAACCGTCAACAATTTAGTATGGTGCATTGATATAATTAAATATCGTCAGATTTTAGCCAATCAATAATATAATTAAATATTTTATTTTAAAAACAATCTCTTAAAATGTATGTCTGATTCTTCTAACATCATAATTCTAATTTTTCAACCATTGTGAATCGATACACAAAAGTTAAGTTGTGTATAGTAAACTCCA